TCGTCGCCATCTGCTTTAACTGCGTCATCGCCCTGCTCATCCTCATCCTCTTCCTCATCCTCTGCAAGGCCTGCAGGACCCCGTCCTGCCCCAAGAAGAGCCCGTCCTCTGACACGGACGAGACGAGGAACGAGGAGAAGTACCTGCTGCAGCCGTGAGGGCCGCCCGGCGCCTCGGGCCGCGTGCGCTGACGGGACTGCACGAGCGCGGGCACTGCAGGCGCCGTGGGGCGCAGGGATGGACCAGCGGGGCACCATGGGGCACTCGGCCGCTCGCCAGGGCTGCGAGCCGGGGAAGACCCCCCATTTGGCGCCTGCCGTCGCTGCAGGGGCCTGCGGTGCCCACGGGGACGGAGGGGCGGCTGCGCACGCGGGCAGGAGGCCGACACGGGGCCCCCACGGGCACCCCGGCGGGCTTGGCAGCTGCGGCTGGGCCTCACTGGGCCCAGCACCTCTGGGCAGCGGGCGCCGGGGCAGCCCCGGGCGGGCAGGGGGCACCGCCTGCTCCTGCGATGCCTGTGTGATACCCAAAGGTGCCGACCCCGGCCCGTGGCTGCCCCGTGCTGCCCAGCGAGGGCCGGCGCGGGGCCGGGCAGTGGTCGGTGCAGCGGGTGCAGCCGCTGCAATAAGGGCTGCAGCGGAGGCGCTGCTGGGTGCGTGGGCCAGGCTCCCTCCATGGGCAYGGCCAGGCCCTGGTCTCTCCCTGGGATGCAGGGGTCCAGGTGTAGCTAACGTGTCCCTCGGCAGTGGTGTTTTTACTAGACTAATAAACCCATGGTAGGACCCACGTGGTGTCTCCGAGCTCTGCCCTGCGCCGTGCGGAGGCCCCGTGTGTCCCGTCCATCGTCCCCCTACTCTGAGCGGGCACCGTGGGGGCAGAGCGGGCGCCAACGTCTTGCACGGAGTGACAGTCCCCAACTCGAGGACACGAAGGCGGCCGGTGCCGGTGCCCCTTTGGCCGGTGGCAGTCACCAGCGTCTCATCAGCATGCGGCGAGGCCGCCGCGGCAGCTAATCCCCCTGGTGCCGCGCGCGGCGCCGCGACGCGACGTGGCCACCCCCGGCTGCGCAGGGGCCGCCCAAGCGGGGCGGCGGCGGCGGCGGGGAGCGCGCGCGGGGCCTGCGCGCGCCCGCGGGGCTCAGCGGCGCCCGCGGGCTGCTGCGCCTCCGTGCCCTCCGCTGCAGCGAGCGGTGCCCGCAGCACCGGGGCTCCCTGCCTGCCGCCGGGGCGCAGCCCTGCCCTCGCGCGGCCCCCTGGGGCTCTGGCCGCCGCGAGGAGGTGCCGGAGCCGTCCCTGCACACCGGGGCCTTTGAACAGCTCTGTTTATTCACCCGGGCCGCTCTGTGCCCGGCCTGCGCCTCGCGTGGCAGGCAGAGCAGCGGGGCTCGTGCCCGTGGCCTCAGCCCGCTCGCCTGGCGCGGCTGCGGCCGCTCACCTCGCTGCCTGGCTGGCCGGCTCCCTCACCAGGTTCAGCAGCTTGTCCAGCTTGGCGATTTCCACCTCGGGGCCCTTCTTCACCTCCTGGCCCTTCTTCTCCTGCGGAGAGAGCAAGCGAGCGGTTAGCACAGACGGGTAAATGAGGCCCAAGGCTGCTGCAGGCTGCTGCATCCCAGCTCCCTGTGCAGCCCTGCTGCGAACTGGGGTGTCTGGAAGCACCCCTGGTTTGGCAGGTTTCTTCTTGGAGCTGCAGCATGGAGTGGAGCAGCTTACAGGGGCTGGGCTCTGTTAAGCAAGTGGCAGGAGCGAGTGGCTCCACGTTGGCACTGAGAGCGAGTGGCGTTTGCACTGCAGGCCCATGTCACAGCCGAGCACCTCTCCACAGGTGTACCCTGCGGCTACACACAGCTGCTCGGGGTATTCCGGGACCCTGGTCTTTCCCTGGAAAGCTGCTTTCCAGCCGATAGCCTTCGAAACCCTCCCTGTGCCGCCCCATGGGAGCCGAGCCAGCAGGGACGGCGCCCGCAGGACACAGCCGCTCGGTACCAGCTCCAGCGCAGCCGGTGCAATGAGCAGGGATCAACCACACGGGGCCTCCGAGGGGCAACTTGTGTGCGGCGGGACAGCCCGTGAGGAGCTCACAGAACAGGCCCCGGGCCGCTCGTGGTGACACTTGCACCCGTTTTGCTCCTGGAGGCTCCCTGGGGGCGGCTCTGCCGCGGGGCGGGAGAGCAGGGCCGCGGCTCCGTCCTGCCCGGGCGGGCGGCCTCGCGGCCCCTACCCCGGCAAGGCGGGAGGCAGAGGCCACAGGGCGAGCTCGGAGCGGGACGGGATCTTCGGAGACCCCCTGTCCAGTGCAAATCGGCCCGTAGCGAACGTCGTGCCCATGATATGGGGGTCATCTAACTGCAGTCACTGCTTCTCGGCCGGGCCTTCCCTCCCGCGCTGAGCAGCAAAGTGCCAGGTTAATAAAACCCTCTCATAAAACCCTCTCATAGAACCCATGATGCTGGCACTTTTCAGCAACTTTTTTTTTTTTTTTTTCGTTTCTTTTTCCCCACTGGCAGAATAACCATAAAACATCTGCCATAAGGTTTGAATTAAACAAAACAAAACACTACGTTTACATCTTAAAGCAGCAGGAGTGTCGGCTGTGCTGGCAAGGCCATGGGTGGCAGATGCCCCGGGCAGGGGAGCAGGTCTGTCCTGCCCCATGGAGCCCCCCATGCCATGGGGTCCCTGGTGCCGGGATGGGGCTTCCAGGCCCAGCGGTGCGATCCGAGCCCCTGCATAGGTGCCCCTGTGGCTCTGGCTGCCACTTCCCATGAAACAGCAACTTAAGCCTTTGCCGGACAGTTTAGAGAGGGATGAGGAGCTTAAAGAATTGGCATCGCTGTCTAACACTCCCAGGTGTCTCCTCGTTGAACGCAATGGGAAGAGGCATCCAGCTGCCAAGATTTCACAACATCTTTGCTTTTTTAGTTGTCTAAGTCCCCTGGTAAAGCCAGTACAGTGGGATTGCCCCCCTGCCCCTTCCTTTCAGCAGGAAAGGAAGAGCTCATGAGAGCAGGGCTGTGCCTGCTGCCCAGCAAAGGCTGAGGTGTAGGAGACCTCACCCTCCTCCCTCCTACACCTCCTACCCCCCTCATCCTCCTCACCCTCCTACAACCAAGGCTGGTGAAGGGCAAGATCCCGAGAGCGGGGGCTCCTGCATTAGCAAAACACACCCGTGACGAGACCAGAGGCTCCACTGGGTGGAGGTGAAGAGATTCCCTGCCTCATTTCTGACGCAGAGACCAGAGAGACTCAAACTTGGCTACTACTGCAGCAAGATTTTCCGCAGCAGCTCCACGGGCCACCAAGCGAACATGCAGCTCCAAAGCCCCCCAAGCCCTATGTGCTCCTATTCCTATTGCAGCCCTATTGCTGCAGGTGACCCCGGGCACCCGGCGAGCCGTGACACCCGCCAGAGGGGCCGCAGCAGCTGAATGCTGCTCTGGAAATGCTCTTTGTACGAGGACCACTTTCAGGCTCTCCACAAGCCCATTTACATAGGGCAGCAAGTGCTTATCAGCCACCGGGAGCTGCTCTCGCAGCCTGATTTGACAGCGTTGCTCCCGGCCCGCTGAAGAATTAGCTGACAGGCTGGCGATAAGGATTTAGGCGTATTTTGCTCCTGTTTGGAAATAAATGACGCAGGAAATGTTCTGCTGGCAGGGAATGAAACCTGCAGAGAAGCCCTGGGGATGGCCGGGTCACTCGGGCATCAGCAGCGTGGGGCTTTCCGCCCCCGGACAACCCAGGCACTGTCCCCCAAGGACGCTCGTCTCTCTGCTCAGCTAAACCCGGTGCTATTCGGGGCAAACGGCTCTCCAGGAGACAGGTCTCGTGGCCCCGGGTCTAGGCTGGCTCCCCGGGCCACTTGCTCTTGCTCACTTGAGCACTCCAGCCCCCTATGTGGGCCCAGCCGGGCCCCACGCTCATGCTCATCCCCTGCACCATGTTTTCTGTGCAGGTAAAAATACTCACACAGGAGGAGCCAAGTTCTTCCCCACACGTTTCTTCTGGCTCCAGCACATCGAGGAGTTTGGCTCAGCCCACTTGGCTCTTGCTGTTTTACTCAGGGCTGTGGTGTGATCTACAGTGATCCTTAGCAAGGTGCTTGGCAAATACTAAGCAGCGAGCAGCCAAAGCTGCTCGGTGGGGCAAGCTGTGCTTGCAGCATTGAAGGAATCTCAGCAACACCAAGTGCTGGCAGAAGAAGAGCCGCTGGCTGGGAGAAGACAAGGAGCAGGAGACCCTGGGAGGGAAAATGCCTGCAGAGCTGCTGCAGTCCCAGGATGCAGCCCCGCGAGGATCCCTGATGAAGGATCTGTCCTCAAAAGGCACTTGCTGGCCGGTTTGGTCCAAGTCTAACCCCTGGCTAAGTGCAAGTATCTGCTAGACCCTCGGCGCTACCTGCTTAGCCTCTCCCAAACTGGAGGCAGCCTGGGCACAGCAGCCCCCGGCATGGGGATGGTGGCAGTGGGCACAAGGCACAGCATGGCCAAGACCATGGTTATCTCGTGTCTAAGCTGGGTCCTAGCACTGAACTTCTCTAGTCGGGCAGCTGAAGAAGCGGGCTGGCTTCCCGCCACGCTCAACGCTCTAACTTCAGAGCCTTGAGCGATGTCTCTTACACACCACTAATTTAAGCACCTAAATATAGCCGTAAGAAGCCCAAATTTAGCAGTGGTGCCTGAAAACCTGAGTGAGTGCGGCAAGCCGAGCACAGACAGCGCCTGGGGCCGCACACGCAGCTCCTCCCGGCTGGGCATTATAATGACACCTCAATCCGATCTGAATTAATCACCAGCACCAATAGCAGAAAACCTCCAAACATATTAGAAACAGTCCCTGGAGAGCTTTTTAATCCATCCAGGAAGCCCCTCTGAAGGAAGCGAGGAGATGCTGCAGGGGCTGGACACACAGTATGGGGAGGATTGTGTCCTTGAGCCGCCTGGGTGTGAAATCCCCCACTTCTGCCTTTCCCACAGCCAGGATCACCATGGGCATCTGGTGACGACCCTCAGTTTAAATATCACCAGCCCACAGCCTTCCAAGTGAAGGCTGCCTGTGAAAGCCACTCACAGACATCAAAGTCTGGAATAGACTAAGCAAATAACCCTAGCCTTGCCCGGCACGGACCCCGTGGGTAGGCAGGGTGAGCACCAGGCTTTCTTCTCCTGGATTAAACCTGGCTGGGTTTTGCCAGCCCTGGGGCCACCCTGGCTGCGAGCAGCGTGGCGATGTGTGTGTGGAGAAGGGATTTTGATAAAAACCAGCATTGCCTCCGGGCATCATTACTCTCCGTCACTGCGCATAGCCAGGAGCAGCCGTGTGGAAGAGGGCAGCCGGGTGAGACGATAGCTCTGCTCGCGAGGCTCACGGAGATGATTATCAGTCGTATCGGCGCACACGTTTAGCAGTAAGCCCTGAGAAAAATCACCGTGTGCTCGGTGCGCAGCACAGCCGCCCTCCCCGCAGCTCTTCGGGCTGCAGATGAGGGCCGGAGGGGAGCAGAAAGCCCTAAGGGTTTTGCTTCCAGCCCCGGGAGAGCCGGTGGTGGGGTGTGCACGTGCCTGTGTGAACTCAGAGACACAGAATCACACACACAGAATCAGAGAATGTGTAAGGTTGGAAGGGACCTCTAGTCCCTTCCAGTCCCTTCCATCTGGTCCAACCCCCCTGCTCCAGCAGGGACATCCAGAGCACAGGGTGGCATCCAGGCGGGTTTGGAGACCTCCAGAGAAAGAGACTCCACAGCCTCCCTGGGCAGCCTGTGCCAGGGCTCTGTCACCCTCACAGTGAAGAAGTTCCTCCTCACATGGAGGTGGAAATGCCTGTGTTTGCACCCATTACCCCTTGTCACTGGCCACCACTGAGAAGAGCTTGGCCCCTTCCTCCCTACATTCCCCCTTCCTGAACTTAGACATGTTAATCGGATCCCCTCTCGGCCTTCTCTTCTCCCAGCTGAACAGGCCCAACTCACTCAGTCTCTCCTCACAGAATCACAGCCAGAATCAGAGAAACTCCCCTGCAAAGGGCTGCTCGCAGGCCGCTGGGCTAAGGGCCACGTCCCTCGGCGCAGGGCAGGGATGTTCCCTCCCTGGGGGACCAGCAGTGCATCCCCCACGGCCTGGATCCAGCCCTCCTGGATTCAGACCTACCGGATTGCAGCGCGGTGCCTCTTTTCTCGATGGGACTGATTACTTTAATCAGCTCTTAGCAGCACTCGGCGGAAAGCCCTGGTACCAAAAGCCTGCCCACGAGTTGTATATTGTAACGGCACAAAATGGAAAATCCGGCAGGCGTCGATCCTTGCTCTTTATCCAAGGGATCTCCCAAACACATGCAGCAGGGAGGGAAGAGGGGAGGAAGGCAGCAGCGGGCAGAGCTCTCACGGCTCTCGGGGAGCCCAAGAGGAGCCCCGTGGGCAGCTCCTCTCTGCAGCTCAGCGCCCAGGCTCACAGACATCCGTCCCTTCCAAAGGGAGGAATCCCGGAGCCTGGTCTGGGCACACAGGGACCGGCGGGCCTGGGCTGCAGCCCTCAGCTCAG